TGGTGGAATATGAGAAGGTGTATGCGGTGAATTCAACTCATTAAAATCAATTGGATATATCAAAGAAGAATTTAATGATTGCTGGTGACGATCAAGATCCGAATTATTATCATCATTATTATTATTGGAGGTCAAAGCAATTGCCAAATGCTCAATATTTGGTGATGATATTCCATTATTATGATTGTTATTATATGTATGATGATTGTTGTTATTATGAATAATATTATCATTGCTACCGCCGCTAATTATAATATTATTAATGCTATCACTGCCATTAATAATACTACAAACAATTTTACTGTTGTTGCAAAAATAATGATAATTTTGGTTATAATAATTGTTAATATCATCGTCATCCAAAACATAACCTTGATTATTGCGAAAAATATCATCAACGTCATCCATAATATCGGCGAAATCATTGTCATTATTATTAACAGTGTCGTCGTCGTCGTCGTCGTCGCCATCATCATCATAGTCAGCAATATTAATATCATCAGCGAAAACAATTTCGTCTTCTTCATTCTCCTCATTATTATTATTATTATAATTCAAATTAACATCAGAGACATCATTGTCATCAATAATAATACCATCATCATCCTTATTATTGTTATTATCAATTTCAGAAAATGCTGTTATTGTTGTTGCTGATAATGGTGATAGTGGTATTGGTGGCGGTGGAGGAGGAGAGGAATCAATTGACGTAGTAGGAGAAATTGAAGAAAAAAATTCACTTTCGTTACTATGATTATCATTAATATTATCGCCTGTATCAATACTATTGATATTGTTGCTACTTCTAATGATACTATTTACTATATCAACACTATTTAGATGATTTTCTTTACAATAATCGACAGCCAAGGTTAATTTTTTAGGTTTAGAATTTCTATTACTGTCCGCTGCACTTTTTAATTCCATTGCATCACGTTTAAGTTTAGCTCTACGATTCTGGAACCAAACTTGAATTGCTCTCGAAGACATATTAAGTTGTTTTGCCAATTGTGTACGTAGATTTGAATCAGGTTTTTGGATTGTTTCAAAGATTTTATTTAATTTCAAAGTTTCATCCTCCGTCAACCTTCTACGTCTTTTAACTTGTCGATATGTTGGTTGTGGTCGTTGTTGATGTTGATGGTGGTGATGATGATGGTGATGAGGGAAATGACGATGAAGATGATGAAAAATGTTATTTTGTTGATTATCGTATGAATGATTATTTTGTAGATTCTGGTTATTAATAATTTTGCAAGTGGATGAAGAAATAATTGATGAAGTGGATGATGATGATAATGATGATGATGAAGGGATAGATGACAAGGAGGCGGGGGAAGATGTAGTAGAGATCAAAGCTTCTTTTAATTCTTGATCAGTTAATAGAAAATCATGAGGAGAAGAAGACATGTCATTATTTAATATTGAAATTCCTGCGGAATTTTCATTTTTAATGTTGCTGTTATTGTCATTGTTAATATTTGATGTTTGATCTGGGTGAAATTGAAACGATGTGATCATCTTTGAAGGTAAATATGAAATTTATTAAAAACCTAACAATTAATGAATAATAATATTATATTACGCGTTTTTCATGAGATAAAAATATAAAATAAAAAATGCATGAAACATAAATATATAAAATATAAGAATAAATTTATCACCTTTCGTACGCTATTGATATTAATATTATAATTATTATTATTATGATGATTAGTAATAAATAATAATATATATTGATTAAGATATTCTTGTATAATGATAAAGACACTAATATATAAAATAATTAATCATTTATCATGAATAAAAAAAAAATTGATTTTTTTATTTTTGCATGAATTATTTTTTATAAAAAATTTAAAAAATACTTTTTTTTCTCTCTCATAAAAATTTTTTTTATGTGTGAGAGAGAGAGAGAGAGAGAGTGAGAGAGAAAGTGAGTGTGAGAGTGGTGTGTAGTAAATAGATGTGCGATATTAATAATGCTTTTGAATTTTCTCCGATTTATTAGAATTAGTATTTTTATTTTTTATTGGTCATTTATCAAGTTATCGAGTAAGTTTATGTGCATATTTACTTCTTTTTTTTTTAAAACTCTTTTATTTCCTGCCTAATAATTCCGACTTTATTTTATGCGACACACTTTTATTACTAGTATTATTATTACAATTGATAAATATTTATTTATTAATATATTTTTTTTTAAAGAGCGAAGAAAGAAAAGCAAAAGAGTCAAAATATGACATAATTATTATCAGTTAGTCATCATCATTAATATGATTATTAGCGTTACTGTTATGCTTTTTATTTGTACTATGTTGTTTTATTTATTAGTAATATCGAACAATGGATGGATGGAGAAAGATTTATCTTGACTATTTTTTTGGGGGAAGAGTCACGTAAAAAAAAAATCCGAGGAACTCTGTGTATATTAAATATCAATATCAATATCAATATAACATACATATTTTAATTCGGAGATTCATTTACTGAATGGTTTTTTTTAATCAATCATATATAAAACTATTTAATATACTATTTTTTGATATGAAATTTTCTAGTAATAATTACTTGTCATTGATGTTTTTGTATTAAAATAATAACATCAACATATTTAAACATTGCATTCTCTTGCTACTCCATACCTATAATATATTATCACTGTTTGCTTTATGTGGAATAAGAATTTAAAAAATGTAAATTGAACAGTTAAATATCATCCATCTACAACAAATAATTTTTATAATATTATATTTTATCATAATTATCATTCAATCAAAGTTTTGTGTATTCTAAATTTATGAAACAGATCTTTTATCAAATTTAATGATGTCAACTTGAACTGACATTAAAATTTCAGTTAAAAAGTTTTGTCTGACTACTAAAATGGATAATGACGAAAATTATAAGATTGATTTTCCAAATCTTTGTGCAACACCAAGTGCCAATAAATAAATAGTTAATGTGTACGCATCAATCAAATAGCAAATTCTTTTAAAAACATGCCTCAACAAAAAAGACAAAACAAGAGAAAACAAAAAGATGAACATGGTGCTGTTGTCATGAGTAAATGTTTATCATAAGAATGGTGGTTATTGTCACTTGTTGTCACTCTGGTTAGTTATTAAAGAATGGTCATTACTTTAGTTTGATTAATTAATTTACATTTTTTGAACTTTAAATCATTTATGTTTAATCCTTAGAATTAAATCCAAAAAAAACAAAAAAAAACAAAAACAACGAAATACTTACCACCAATAAGGTAATCCTTTAGCAGATAAAATTAATTGTAGAGCTTGTTTTTTTTGATAATAATCACAGTTGTTAGCTGATTTTGGGAAAAAAGTAATCCAGTGATTGTTTTGACTTTTCAGGATTCTTGGTAATAATGATCATAAAAAAACTGCCCATCATTTGGTTATTGAGTTAAAGAGCTCATAATTTGGTTATCATGGAAAGCCATTTTATCACTTCGATTTGATAATGATCATTTATTTTGTTAGTATTAAAAGAAGCAATTTCAGCTAACAATTGTGATATTTGATCAATGAAATTATAAATCTTTGGTTAATTTATATATATACTTTACCTGTTATTTCTGTTATTTTCCTTCAAGGACCCTCATTTTGATAATGACTCTGAAATGCCAATATGGTTAACAAAAACGATTTCTTATTGGAACAAACATATTTTATTAGAACAATCTAAAAAGATGGATGAACCAAAGTAAGTGTTAGTTTTTTCTTTTTAATAAGTCAAATAATTGCATCTAACTTTAAAAAAATAAAAATAAGTACAATATAGTGACAATAATAAATGAGTCTTATTGGGAAGGATCATCAGAAATTCCTCACAGAATCTGACTTTAAGGATTTTCAACAAATATTTCAAGTTCCCTTGAACTTGGGAAAGAATCAGAAACATGGATGAATATTGATAAGAATGCAAATTTATTATTACAAGATTAAAGATGGTTCCTCAATTAATTGCAACTAATTGCAGTTGCAGTTGTGGCATGTGAAAATTGAGTTGCAGCTAATTGTGGTTCCTATATTTATACAAGATCTTTCAAAGGTAAATGGCAATGATTTTTATTGAAGCTGCCAATAAAATAATTTATATTAAATTATATGTTTTTATCTTAGGTCAGTTTTCAAAGATCAAAGGAAATAGGAGAATCTGTTCTTCCTGAAGGAACTAGAGGAGCATCGGAACTCATTTAAAACATTATTAAAAACAGTCAAAATGAAGATGATAGTAGTCATGAAATTTGTGAATTTGAAATTGATCATTTAAACCATGATGTTTGTTATATTATTTGTTCTATTTATTTTATTTGTTTTATTTGAATTAATTCGTTTTTTTTGTTTTATTCATTTATTTATTTTATTTGAATTAATTTGGTTTATTCATTTTATTTGAATAGAAACTTATTTTTATGGAATAATTGTTTATTTATGTGATTTACCATAAAATAATTATAATAAAAATAAAAATTGCATTAAATGCTTTAGTTTTAAAAATTTATAATATAGAACGTGATGATCTTTCTAAAAAAAGGAATATACTATGTATATAATAAATCTATATAGTGGCAATCATTTAAAGACATCATCAAATGTTGCCAATCTTTAAGTGCTGATACTTTATTAAATATGGGCTATTTTACCAAAAACTCTC